TCCTATACTTGATATATTCGGCTGACCTACCAACCACCGACAACACAGTATTGGCCACATTTGCTGATGATACGGCGATACTCACAGCGAACCATAACCCGATAACTGCCTCCGCAAACCTACAAAACCACATAAATCTCCTACAACAGTGGTTCCACAAATGGCGCATGAGCATAAACAACGAGAAATCAGTCCAAATCACCTTCACCAATCGCCGAACCACTTGTCCACAAATAACAATAAACAACAGGAACATACCACGCAACGCCGAAGTCAAATAATTAGGTCTTTACCTAGATCAAAAACTCACGTGGAGGACTCACATCAAAAAGAAACGCCAACAGTTAACGCTGAAAGAGAGACAGCTGCGCTGGCTGCTAGGAAAACGCTCGCAATTGTCCCAGGAGAACAAAACCCTGTTATACAAGGCACTTTTAAAACCTATATGGACCTATGGCATCGAGCTGTGGGGCTGCGCTCGACCATCCAATACCAAAATCCTCCAAACGTTCCAATCGAAAACACTACGAAGAATCACAGGCGCACCATGGTACGTAACAAACGGAACTATCCACAACGATCTCAACATACCCTTCATCACGGAAGAGATCAGAAAACATGCCACCAGACACCGTACTCGGATAACAGGACACGAAAACCCGCTAATCGTTGAATTAACGAAACCGCACCCAGCAGCAAGACGACTGAGGACAACCTGGCCAGAAGACTTATGTAACTAAAAGGTAGAGTACTGCCACTGGGCAGCTGCCGCCTTCACGACATAAACACCCATCGCATTTACTTATTACTTACAGTGGTCAAGTAGATTGTAAATTGACGTAAAAAAATTCTTATGTGAAAAATTATCATTCAAAATTATTTTTACCCCTACATTACCCTGCTCGGAAAGATATTTAATGTTTCCAAGGATTTATTAACAGTAATATGAGACCATTAGCAGTACACGAGAAATAGTAGTACATCAGTATAAGCTGTTTACGTACAAGACCAAAATTAATATAAAAGTAAATAATTATTTACATAATACAGTATGTTAAAAGTGCCTTCAATTTGTTATATTATCTTACGTTATTCGTACTTCAATTAACAGAATTATGAAATAAATCGTATGTGCAACAAAGAATGAATTCCTTCTATCTCCACACCTCATGGAAGTGGTTGGATGGGCAGCGCTACTTCCAGGTATGAAATATTTACTTTCCTCACCCCCCTCCCCAAAGTGGCTTTACGGCCGTATCTATCAATACAGTATCTGGTATCTTATCAAGCAGTTGACATGTGAAATACAAGTACTGATATAGTACAGTTAGTGTATATGAAATGGGGCACATGTGTGAAGTGAAGACTTCCTTACAGAGTCAGAATATTTTATTTAGACTGATGAGTTCTGGCTGAACAGGAAACTTGGTCAAGATCGTTCTCAGAAACTTTTCTCTTTGGGGGATCGGTTTAACAGTGGAGACTGTAGTGTTGTGATACTAGTGTATATGAAAATATCGATTGTTATTGTTGCATAGAAAGAATAAACTACAACGAAACAACAGATATATTGAGACAAAGTAAGTATTGCTTAAAATCATGTCAATACATCGAATTCTAATTAAAGCTTCATGTTTCCCAAGAGATATATAGGAACTCTGTCGATATCGGAGCTCACTGTTTTCAGCTTCCTTTACCTTCTCACTCCTATAGAACAGATTAGGAGCCGCAACGAAGTAACGGATCTGCAGTCCATCTAGCGACTAGGCTATAAGTTAAAAAACTGATGAATCTTGGTTCAAATCTCGGTAGGGGCAAATGATATTTCCGATCTTCACAATGCACAGAGTGACTCTGGGGCCCATTCGACCTATCCAATTGGTACCAACAACTTTTCCACGCTGTAAAGCAGCAGGGACGTAATCTGACTCACCCCGCGAGTATAAGAATGCGCAGAGCTGTACCTCCATGCCTTTATGGCGTGTTGGTTAATTCTGCCCAAAGGAAAGTCCACTTTTTTTATCTTCGCTGGGGTGGGACTAAGTCCCTTGTACTGCGGCCACTTCTGGCCTATTGTACCAGCCCCAGATGACAGGTGAGGGCGATTGTGGAGAAACTGGTTCAATGAAGATTGGCAGGGGAAACCGAAGTACTCGGAGAAAACCTGCCCCAGCGCCACTTTGTTCACCACAAATCCCACTTGACCAGATCCGGGAAAAGTTCACCTTCATTTATATCCAGGCCACAGTCTTTGTTATATGAAATGTCCGGAATCTTTAATTTGCTTGTATGACAATATGAATGTCTGACAATTTATTGACCTTGACCAGTTATATAGGTGAATGCCCTCTATCCCCTAACTAACTTCGCCGACAAGCGGCGGTCGCTCGGTCGGTATAGTTAGCTTGCGGACTACAGGCCACGGAGCATTTTTAATAGGGTCTAAGTTCGACAGTTATTTTCTGTCTCAGCCGAAAATGCAATTGCAGGAAACATACGACAATAACTTCGGAGTCGTAAGCTATAAATTCAGTTTGCTGAGGCGAGGAATGCGATTGATAAAACAGGAATGAGGAAGCGGTGAGGTTGAGATGGGCATAAGGTGTTTTACGCAAATAAGAATATGTACTGGGCGAGGATGAATGTTCAGTGATTTATATGTTTTTACGTAATCTTATTCAAACAGATAACACACAGTGAATTCTCTTGAAAATTTTAGGGTTCAATCTGTTGGTCATGACTTCTTTATGTTCGCACCTTGAAATATAATCAGGCCTCGCCTTTTTTCACGTATACCAGGAATATCTGTCATGAAGGTGAAGATGGTTTACACGAAACTGCACAGCTTTGCAGTTTCCTTTGGACATCGTTCTATTTTCCTTGCCATAAGACATATTAAGTCCAGAATAAATTCGGGGCATGCTTGCTACTCTTTATCTCACAATCGGTCTTCCGACCTCCTTTGTAAAAAGCAAAGATGAAAATATACAGCGTGTCCACAAAGTCCCTTCGGGGTTTTGAAAAATGTTGGCGCTCAAACAAATTGAGCTAGTCACATACAGTTTGTGGCAGATCATAGTGAAACTCTGGAAGTTTTTTACTGACCTCAGTAGAACTCGATGTATATTAAAAATATAATTTTATCAGCAGTTTTATATGAATGAAAAATCTGTGTATATCTCAAGAAAAGAACATGGATTCAGTATGTTTCAGAACATGGCAGTAAGGAGATTATTTGGAACTAAGAGGGAAACTTTGAGGAGAAGAGAGAACATTATATAATGAAGAGTTTCATAATTCGTGCCCCACATTAAATAGACGGGATCGCTTCTGTGGTCTAGTGGTCAGAGTTCCTGGCTACAGATCCAGAGATCCCGGGTTTGACCTCCGGCGTTACTAGATTTGCTGAGAAGTAGTGGGTCTGGAACGGGATCCACTCAGCGTCGTGAGGATAACTGAGGAGCTACTTCAATTTCAAAGTAGCGGCTCCGGTCTAGAAAACCGAAATTAACGGCCGTGGGGATTTGTTGCACTGAACACACGACACCCTCTATCCGCTAAAGTTGGCACTAACTTCGCAGACAAGCGGCGGTCGGCATAGTTCGATTGCGGACTAAAGCCACGGATTTGTTTTGTTTTTGTGATCAGATCAAGATAGGATAAGAACCAGATATGCACACAGCATTCTGTTCCGAAAAGAAGAAACCATCTGAAAGATCTACTAGACATATATGGGACGATAATATTAAGACTGGTCTTAAAAGAAAATAGAATATGAGGATGGTTACTGGATGCAACTGATTTCTGTAGTGAGCTCTTTTAAACAATGGAATGCACTTCGGGGTTCCATAAGGTGCTGGAAAATTCTTGACCAGCTGCTCTGTTACCACCTTCTCAATAAAATTTCCTACGTAATTTTTCTTAAGCCCAAACATCTTCATCATTTTGTTATTAAAATACCTTCACTATGTGTTCTTTAAGAAACTCGTAAGAACATACGAAACAACTATCAGGTTAAAGAACAAAACATGTTGCTGTTACTTTCTCAGTAGTGCCATTTCGAGACTGGTTGACGCTGATTTGTATAACCCTGACCTACAATTTTTTTTTAAATGCTACTCCATTAATTGACAAGTTCTTCGCGTTTATGGGATCATTACTATACTCCATATTTGGCTGAGGGGGAAGTGAACAGTTCGTCCAACTTCCGAATACAGAATGTCCCAGCACATGAATAATGGCGTACCGACTGCTAGGTTAGAAACAGAAGAGTTGCTTTCACCTTACCCCACGTCAGAGCCGTCCAGTGTGTCGCCCATTCCAAAGCAAGCAAAGTAGGATGCCTCTTACATCGTCATTTCGTGACGTACCTGGTTCCAATCTGGAACGGGTTACCGGTAATCTTAACTGAAGCTCTACGTGGATGTTCTCATTCCTTTAAACACGAATGCAGTATACGATCTAAAAGTCTGTGACGACGTAACACGAGTACAAATATTGCATTTTTGGATATTACCCGTTTAATTAAAATTAATTTCGCATAGTGGGGGTGGAGTCCAGCTGGGTTCACTTGGCACGTCGGCCACTGATTGGCCTATTGTACTTGCCCCTGGTGATTATGATGATGGAGAATTTAGTGGAATGAAGATTGGCAGAGGAAACCGAAGTACTCGGAGAAAACCTGCCCCAGCACTACTCTGTCCACCACAAATCCCACTTGACCAGACCCAGGATCGAACCCGGGCCGCCGCGGTGGGAAACCAGCGACTAACCACTTGAGCTATGGCGCGGCCAAAGTTTGCACTAACTTCGCCGACAAGAGGTGGTCGCTCGGTCAGTATCGTTCGCATGCGGACTAAAACCACGGAGTTTGTTTAATGACAAATATTTAAAAAAAAATATGCATCATAAAAAAATTTCCAATATATTATGCTTATTCATAAAAAAAGGTAAGACATGCATTTATTTGTCCCACCAAACCATATCTAAAATTTAAGAAATGAAATAATTAATACATATGTCCAAATGAGCATATATTTAGTTGCAAGAAAGAAATATGCATTTGTATTAGAATCCGGTCCCTAGTGATCAGTTATCCTGGCGTTCATTCAGAGGTAATGTCCAGAAACCTTAACGACATTTTCAGTATGTTTCGACCTGATGGCAGGACACGTACTGATCACGGGTCACAGTTGATATTCGTGCTGTCATGTTCTTGTGCATATTAAGCGGCTAACCTGCAGTTACGCATCGCCGTAGTGATAAGTGTATAGTTAGAATGAGAATGTTAATAGGGGTCTATATCTAACAGGTGCATTTCCTATCAACACTCACCAATCAATATAATTAATCATCACTAGTCATCGTGGCATGNCACCACCACCACCACCACCACCACCACCACTACCACCATTATCATCGTCGCCATCATCGACTGCCAGCTCTTAACCTCTCAGCAACGAGGAAAATATGTTGTCGTTATGGGGTCTGTGAAACTAGCGTAAAACATATAACAACTTAAACCAAACTATTTATTTTTTACAATTTTATAATTAATTCGTCGCACTGTCGATGAAGCCTCACAAAACAATGACAGAGACCCTCTGTGTCGCCTTACAAGTTCTCTTATGAAACTGGCAAGAATATATATCGAAGCTGAAGGCGGAAAGTCTGAACATTTATGACAGCAATGAAATTCCAGGGTATGTAAACTCATGTAGAACCGTTAAATGTCATTTTTTTCTTGTAATAAACATGTTTGTCCTATTCGAATGATCTTAAAATTCCTTCCTACAACATTGTAATCGTTGATAATATTACCCGCGCTAGTATAACATTTTTTTTTTCAGTGTGACCTCGGGATATCCTCCTGAAGTTATGACACAAAGTCATGAAATGCCCTGTCTAATAAGGAATGAAACAAGAAAGAGACAAGCGTGTGCTTACAACATGATTTCTTGTGACAAAACATATATAGCCACAAGGAGATAAGAGTGGCACATGGTTCAGTTATCGCACGCATTTCATGAAAAAATTGAAACATCATCAAAAGTTCATATTATATATAGCACAGTATACGATAAAATTAATTTCAAGCCTGAAGAGACAAGGGTCATAGGCAAGAGAGACAAATATGCCCTCAGGTTCTCTGTGTTATGCCAGTAGAGTCCATCGCAACATAGATAGTGGGTTTAGTGTGGATAATAACGGAACGGGAGCGCCTCTGTAGTCTAGTGGTCAGAGTTCCTAGCTACATATCCACAGGTCCCGGGTTTAATTCCCGGCGTTACCAGATTATCTGAGAAGTAGTGGGTCTGGAACGGGGTCCACTCAGCCTCGTGAGGATAATTGAAGAGCTATTTCAAGGAAACAGTGGATCCGGTCTAGAAAACCGAAATTAACGGCCGTGGGGATCCGTTACGCTGACCACGCGGCACACTATCTATCCGCAAAAATTGGCACTAGCTTCGCCGACAAGCGGTGGTCGCTCAGTCGGTATAGTTCGCTTGCGGGCTAAAAAGCCACGGAGTTAATAATGGAACGGACAGAAGTTACACGAGGGCACGAAGGCGTGTATGGG